ACACACACACACACACACACACACACACACACACACACACACACACACACGAGTACACACATGTGTACTTGTGCTTTTGTTACTAAGTGGATATATGTGAGCTGGTGTTTTTTTTAATTTGTTTTATAGGTTTAGTTTGCTAGGATATAAAATGTATGTATTTGTAGCTTACAAAGAACTGTTTTTTTTGTTTTAGTCGCTTTTTATAGGGTAAAAAGCGTACTACTTTATTTTAACTGGTTTCATTAATATAAACATATTTTTTCTTGTATAAATTTTAAGATCTTTAAAGTATGATGACGTTGGTTTAATTATTGTTATTATTCTTATTTAGATTTTAAACTCTGCCAAAGACATGGCTAATGAAATCAAAGAGAAACAAGAAGTAGCATTGATCACTGAAAAACAGATAGATGAAGCTCGAAATGACTATGTACCCATCGCAGTTCACTCTACTAATCTATTTTTCCTAATTGGTAATTATTAATTTTATTATTACATATTTAATTGATGAAATATATAATATAAATATTATTCTATTCATTTCTAATTTATGGCCTAAGCTACTTTATGACCTTATAATTTCGCGTCACTATCGTTAAAATCCATCCGCTTGCATAAATCTCATAAAAATCTGTGTAAATGGTATAAAATAGGCGAATAGACAGTAATTGTATAATATGGTTTAGGGTAACGATCTAGATTCGAAAAGATGTATGAAATGCACCAACTCTCATTTGGTGATGGTTTTATCGAGGACAGATGAGCCTAGCAGTGGAATGTGAAAATTGCAGAATTATTTTTATTATCTGTATGTTTTCTCTTAGCATCCCTCGCAAACATCGACCCGATGTACCAGTACTCGCTGGGCTGGTTTGAGGGTCTGTTCACGGCCTCCATCGACAACACGGAGAAGGTGGACGAGATCACTGAGCGTCTCGCCATCCTCCGCGCGCACTTCACGTATTCGTTGTACGCCAACATCTGCAGGAGTCTCTTCGAGAAGGTTCGGGAACATGATCTTGTCTCGTAGCGTTTAACAAGTGCTTTTAATTTGTTCAAGCGTCGAAAGGTCATGATTTGGGTTGGTTTTATTACGGCGTAGTTATAGCACTATATTAGAATATAATAATAAATATAACTCACGCCCTAACAATCTTATTTTCTAGGACAAATTGGTATTTTCGTTACTTCTAACAGTAACCATAATGGTGGCGGAAGATCAGCTGCAGCAATCTCATGTAATGTTTCTCCTGGCTGGAGCCCAGCCCAGAGTGGTTCCGCCCAACCCCGTTAGCTTCCTGAGCCCGCAAGCATGGGGAGAATTTAACGGGTTCGTTTAATAATAAATGTCATGTTACCACCAATGAAATTGTACTAGTTTCATATGCGAGTAATAGTAGTAATTAAGGTTATACCTTGACATTATTAATAAGCTTACTTTTGCACAATGCCGTAGCACAATCACATTTTTGGTTAGAAATTGCCTATTTTACCAGAAATTGAAAATTATGTCAAGTTTATATTTCTAACTCAGAAGACAAAATGTGATTAAAACCAGTATTTCTCTCGGCGTCTAATTGAAGTATAATAATTGCAAATGTCATTGCAATCAATTAAACACGTGTGTACCAACCTACCAAGTGTGTCCGTAGACTGAACGAGATGGAGCAGTTCCAGGGTATCGTGGAGCACTTCATGGCACAGCTGCCGCAGTGGGAGGCGTACTGCGACACGCCCGACCCGCACGCGCAGCCGCTGCCCGCACCATGGAACACCAAGTTGGATATGTTTGAGGTGCTGTGTCCCTAGACACTCCCTTCTACGTTTTCTTCATATTTTTATATGTTACACTTTTATTCCATTTCATAATGAACGAGTTTTTACTTCAAATATTTAAGAGAGTTTTTTTTTATAAAAATAATCTCATGCTACAACTGCAAACATGTATCTTGTAGAATGCATATTAATTTCTGATAAGAACTTTGCTCACAATTATTTCTATTTAGTTTGCAAAAGTGTGAACAATTATAATAATAATTAAATTTATTTTTGCTCATGTTTTTAATAACAAAAATACCAGTAAGTTTATCAGTATAAAATTTGAATATTTTTTACTTTAAAATGCAAACTTTTCTATTTTAGAAAATGATGGTGCTACGATGTATGCGTTTAGATATGATGGTGCCGGCTGTCCAAAACTTTGTCGAAGGTAATTATTATTTTCTCTGAAATTAAATTATTCGATTAATTAATAACTATATTATATAAATTATTGTTCGTAGCTCAAATGGGCCGCCAGTTTGTGGAACCGCCGCTTTTTGATTTGGCATCTTCGTATGCGGACTCGCACTGTTGTATTCCGCTCTTGTTTGTTCTAACTCCAGGATCAGATCCGATGGGCACACTGCTTAAGTTTGCTGATGATCAGGTATAAATATAATCAGAAAATTTATAGTATTTGTATTATCTGGGGATACAAATAAAAGCACTAAATAACACACCAACTATATGTATATATTTTGTTTTTTTTTTTGAATTACATAGTACCACGTTTCCGCGTATCTTCGAGTCGCCGTTATGAGAATTCGATCATTAATATATTTTATTCCGTTCTATTCTTAAATTGACATGATACGTCTGTTTTTACTCTAAAGATATCATTTTACGCACACCTATCATCTCGCAAATTTCACATATATTATAAATTAATTTGAAAAACGTTTTTAAAGAATGATTATAATTATATTAAAGGGTTTTGGATCATCGCGTCTGTTTTCATTATCTCTCGGACAAGGCCAAGGCCCAATCGCAGTGAAACTAATTGATGAAGGCGTCCGAAGCGGCACGTGGGTTGTGTTGCAAAACTGTCACTTGGCTAAGAGTTGGATGCCCATGTTGGAAAAGGCACGTAATTTATGCTATTTTGCTTTTTATGTTTATCTAGTTATCTATATGGGTAGTTTTTATGAAAAAACGCATTTGTTAATATATTTTTTTACTATCATCCAGGTATTTTAGTTTATGGGAAAATAGTTAGGGATTTTTTTCTTGTCTTTTGTTTTTAATTAGATGGGTTGATAATGCCAAAAATATTGACATATACTTCTAATATCAATTTTAACCTTTCAAAGCACACGGAGCCACAGATGGCTCGGTTAACAATTAATTTCTTAGAATTTAATCGCGAGGTGGTCGTTATAGTTTTAGGAAATATTATGTTATAATATATATATATATATATATATATATATATATATATATATAATTTATTTATTACTTCTTTAGTGCAATAAAGAATGTATTATTATATTATATTAGCTCACGTGTTAAAAATATTAAATATCCAAGCTTCAAGTGTTATCGTTTATTACAATTATTATATTATTTTCACTCTAATTATCATGATGGCAATGTAATTAAACAATACACTTATAACATATTTAATATGACCATACCGTTATAATATACGAACTGCTTGTAATATATATCAAAATGTAGATCTGCGAAGGTTTTACACCAGACTCTACGCATCCGGACTTCAGGCTGTGGCTGACGTCGTACCCGGCCGACCACTTCCCTGTCTATGTTTTGCAAAACGGGGTAAAGATGACCAACGAACCGCCTCAAGGTAATAAATTATAATAATATTATAAAAGAAACTCTTTATTGTACGCTCAAAAAAAAATGAATGCCGAAAAGTTACAATAATGGCCTCATCGAGAATATAGAGATCTCTTTCAGGTAACCTTGAGGTGTAAGAAACAGCATACTGAAAAAGGGACGGGGTGTGAATAATTAATTAACAGTAAAAAAAAATTATAAAAAAATCTAGTACTTAGTGGGCACAATATTCTTTTTAATAAAAATGTTTAAAAAAGATAAACTAAATAATTTTTATTCTCTACCCACAATATAGCTTTTTCTTGTGAATTAAAATGTACACTCCTACATACACATAGGACTCCGCGCGAACATAGCCCGATCATACCAAAGCGACCCCATCAACGACCCGGAGTGGTTCGAAGGCAACAAGCAGCCGGAGGTGTTCAAGAAGCTGCTGTTCGCGCTGTGCTTCTTCCACGCGGTGGTGCAGGAGCGCCGCCAGTTCGGCCCGCTCGGCTGGAACATACGCTACGAGTTCAACGAGACTGACCTGCGCATCAGCGTTACGCAGCTGTACATGTTCCTCAACGAATATGATGTGAGTCATTGTCCACATAAATAATAAATAAATATGTTGGGACATAAAGACACAGCGCCATCTACTTCCATGGTAAGCTACGAGGCTTGTGTTATGGATACCAGAAAGTTGATACACTACACATATATAACTTTAAAAACATACATATTATTATAAATATAAACACCCATGACTAGAGTACAAACATTCGTGCTCATCACACAAATGAATGCCCCCAGCAGGTCTCGAACCTGCGACCGATGGCACAGCAAGTAGGGTTACTACAAACTGAGCCAAACATGTCGTCATATACCTCCTCAAACATATACCTCCTCGTCTCCTTTTTTATGTCGAAAAATGCATTTACGAATACCACCTGCAGATATACAGGTGGTTATGTGGAACTCACCGGCTAGAAAACCAGTACTACCCACTAAAACCCAACAAAACCTCCCCGTCTTAATGGGGCGTCGCAGGATCGCTTGCGCACTCAACTACGACACCCCGACGGCAGGTCTGCCGAAACAGACCACAACAACTACGGGGTCCAAGGTCCACTCTGCTATCAGAGAAGTACTCGTTATATTGACTTTAATGCGCTCTCCCATATAGTAAATTGCATAATGGATGATAATTGATTATAGCCTCCTTTACTTATTTTCTTATTATGAATCTAAATTGCAAAGTGATGAAACTATGCTCCAGAATTACGCAGCTCTACATGTTACTTATGGAATATAATATGAGCAATACCTCCTGCAAATTGGGAAATATGTTTACGCATACCACCTGCTAGAATAGTCAGCATTACTCACAAAATTCTCAAGGAACCTTTCCCGTATTAATGAAACGCCGCAGGGTCACTTGTACGTTACATATTTAATATCCGTAATCTGTACCGTATAACCTAACATGTAAATCAAATTTGCAACCGGAAGTTTGTTACGTATGACGTAGAAGCCAGTACAATAGCCAGTGCTAAAAGGACACAAGTCATATTTTCCTTCAAAAAAGTAATTATAATATGTTATGTTATTCGTATTGCATGATAAGCTCCGCTGTCTAAATGTATATACTTATAATATGATTAACAAATCAAATGTACAATTTAAAAAAAATACTTGTCATATGCTTATTTATTTATATTATGAGAAAATTATAATCATTATAAAATATGTCAAAGCTACTTTTTTAGATAAGTAGGTTTGAAATAAAGTCATATAAACAAGTTCCAATTCATGTCATGAATTTCGAACACAGTTGGGTCCAAGCCTCTATCTATCCAAATATCCCTGAATATGGCGTCTTAAAAGCCATTATAGCTCTCTCTACGGATTATACTTGAAAGGACTTATTTTTAAAACCTCCTAGAGCTTATGTAAAGAGGAAAATAAATGACATCCTATAATTTGAAAATTCGCGTAATCGAATTCGCCGCGGCGTATTTGGTAGACTTAGTTAGACATTATGTCACTCTTCGGATTAACATAAGTCCTTATTTTGAATACTATAAAGTTGAAAGCGTGTTTGTTATGTTATCCTTTTTTCGTGCGGCAACTAAAAATCGAATGATTTTTGAAGTTATTCTGTTTTTGGCACGCTTGGAAAAAAATATGAGTGTAAAATTTTTACGATGCGTGCGCACACCGACAGCAAAAAGCGACATGGTGAAGTTAGCTGCATTCATTTTACAAACAGAGAGTTGTGACATACGTGATGAAACCTTTAGCTATTTTTGTTCTGTTCCGCCAAAGAAATATAACTTCTTACGTGCGTACATGAGTACACATGTTTTTTTTTACCATAGGAGTAGTTTATGGGCCACGACTTATCAAACGTGGTGTGGTCGGTATAAAGCACAAGTTCGAAGCGAACGTTTAACTTTAAATGTGTATAAAAATGATACTCTAATAAAAAACGCGTGTTCAGGATGTGCAATTCGTAGCGCTGCGTTACCTCACGGGCGAGTGCAACTACGGCGGCCGCGTCACCGACGACTGGGACCGTCGCTGCCTCAACACCATTCTGAACAAGTTCTACAATCCCGACGCGATTGGCGATCAGAAGTATTGTCTCGATCCCACTGGTAAAAAATTTGGTGACTTACCATTGTTACATATTACTTTCACGCATTATAAGTTAGATATACAGTATACCTAGATGTCTTATCAACATATAAGACATCTAGGTATACTGTATATATCATTTTTATCTATGTTTTATATATAATAGATTCCTTTATCATATAGTATAACCAATTTGACATAATATAATCTATAATTATGATAAAAAACATTCATAACATAAGTTTAATACCTACTTCAAATTTTCCACTCAATTAGTAAGAAAATAATACCTATTATCAGTATATAAAGTAACTATTATATCAAACAATTGTAATAGAATTATTACCATAAAACATTATCGCATAGAAAGCCGACGGCAACATCGGGTCACATTATTAATTACTCTTTCGGCTCTGGTTTAAAATTCCAAATGTTCACTTTACCACAATATACCTAATAAATGGCCTATTTGATTAGGTACGTATAACGTATGGAGTAGCCACATTTTGTAAGCAAAATTGTAATAGAATATTTAGTACCCATACATTTATTACCTATAACGAGTAAAAGCAGTTATAGCTCTATACACTTCACACATCAAATAATTTTTTGTTTAATTCCACTTGCGAATTATTGCAAACTTCTATTCAACTGTTTATAAAATAAAAACTTTTTAAAGAAAAATAAAAACCGACTTCCAGGCACGAAATAAAAAAATAACTAAACGGTGGTTTTCATTTAGAATAGAGATCAAATCAGATATTTTCAAAGTCAAAGTTAAGATAGAAGATTTTTTTAAAGTTTTTATTTTTTCATTTTTAGTGTAGACGTAATAAGCAGGTAATTTGTAAGAAGAATTTTTTTATAACATATTCAATTAAGCAATTTATTTAAAAAAATTTTTTGTTGATTTTAAAAAACCCCTCAACCGATTTCGATAAAGTTTATGTGGGATTTATTGTCTCAATGAGATGGTCAGCCGTGGCCGAAATCTGTCAGGAGGACATTATTATTATTTGCACTAGGCACGTACTACATCCCAACGCTGCGCGAGCACGCGGACTTCGTCGCGTTCGCGCGCTCGCTGCCGGCGGCGACGCCGCCCAGCGTGTTCGGCTTCCACTCCAACGCGGACATCACCAAGCACTTCCGCGAGGCCGAGGAGCTCCTCGACACCGCCGTGCTCACGCAGGTACAGGGTTAATGTTCAGTATGTACTTAGTGTCTTAGATAGTCGTAAATTGATAAGTTTTTATGATTATAGAGTTTCATTTGTAGTAATAATAATATTATAGTTCAGCATCATGATAGATTTGATGGTAATTTTCCTTAGTTAATAAGCTTAGAATGGTACAAAATAATTTCTTTTACATATTTTTGATGAATAAATATTACTTTTGAACAGTAAATTAAATTCATAAGCATTATATTTTAAATAGAAGAAATGTTATAGGATATATTTTGTTTCACATATTATGTATTGTATATATTATTCAATTATGTTATATTTTGTTTCATTCATCAATCTTCGCTGGATTCAAGGATCGCACTGTGAGTAGAACTTTGTGTAATTTCATTAAAATATTGCATTTAAATATCATATTAATTATATTCTCTTTCATTTCACGGAAAGGATCGTCTGAAACAATATTTGGTAAGTAATGAATTAACATGTCTAACACCTAGTCCAGTTATTATAAGATTATTTTTAATGTACATTTGCTAATTTTTGCTAATTAAAAATAGATATATTATTAAACAATTTTGCACTTTACAGATATTTTTTACTATAATTATATTTTGTGTTAAATAACATTTTCGTAGTACAGTTCGTTAATCATTGTTGTGGACGGTTTCGACGTTAAAGTTATGTAATGCCATATTGTGACAAGTCACCCATCACACCTAAAGCCTCGACATTGTATAACGATCCGGTGCGCTTCACCAGCTTCTGCACTCAGACTGTATGAATTAGTAGAATGTGCACACAATATGTGCATGTAAGTAATATATGTGTATGTAATGCGTGGTAGGACACTGCGGCGGCGGGCGGCGCGGGCGCCACGCCGGAGCAGCAGGCGCTGGCGGTGGCGGAGGGCGTGCTGGCGCGCCTGCCGGCCGCCGTGCTGCGCGGGCGCGCGCGCGCCGCCGGCGCCGCGCCCCTCGCCGTGGTCGTGGTGCAGGAGGCGGCGCGCTACGAGCGCCTCGTCGCCGTCGTGCGCTCCAGCTCGCGCGCCGTCATCGGCGCCGTGCAAGGTCAGTGCCGCGTCACACTGTGAAGTAATATTAGTCGGATGGACGGTGATAGGCTGATTGATTGATATAGAAACTGTTACTTTAGGCTACCAATATGACTGTTATTATGAATGAACTCGTATCAACAGCTTCACTGCCTTGGTGGTGTATTGACTATAATGTACGGCTACAGTTCCTAAATTCGAGTACCGGGTTGGACTAAGTGTGGCTTACCTAACTCGTTTCCATAAATTTTTAAGGGAGCGCTAAAAACATTCTATCGTATTCCGCCCTTTTTAACGTCCCACTGCTGGGCACTGGCCTCCCTAGAATACGAGGAGATCAGTCCATAGTTCACCACGCTGACCAAGTGCGGGTTGGCGGACTCACATGTTTTTTGAAAACTTCTAAGTTTTCTCAGACTTGCAGGTTTCCTCACGATGTTTCCCTTCAACGTAAGGCACCGTAAGACTAAAAACATCAATTTCAATATATAAACGTATTCGAAAAAAAAAATTCCATTTTTTGATAATGATTGACCTATAAACTTTAAACTTCATATACTTTTAGGATTTGAGCGATGTAATACCATCAAAGAATATAAAATAATTTAGAGGCTAAAAGGATATTTCAAAATGAATATGGTTTCTTATATACCCAAAGGAAATCTTTGACATCAAACAAAATATTACATTGACATTTTTCTAATATCTACCATTTACCAATATTAAATAAAATACAAAGTAAATATATTTTGCCAGAATTTATAAAAGCCTATCTAAATATATAGGTATATATATTTTTTAAGAAAAAAATTCGTTCAAAAGTCGACCTTCTCATCTGAGAACAAAAAGGATAAACTAGAGGTGCTAAGGCACACCAAGGCTAAATAAATAACTTTCAATATACGAGTAATATGTCTAGGTCTACGTGTATATTGTAACAATCAAGTAATAATATAAAAGATTTTTTATTGTAAAATTCCTTTTAGACAGGATATACATGTCTCTGCCTCGATTTATGTAAAATAATGATCCTGGGTTCGAATTCCTGGTTGGGCCAATACCTTTAGATGTTAAGTTTTTCTAAAATTCAAATTCAAAATATTTTATTCAGCATTAAATTATTACATATTTTACTGAACGTCATGAGTCTATTACCAGATCAAATCCTCAATAACATTAGTTACACCCCTCTACCACGGAGAGCATGTACACCCGTTGCGGCTGATCTCTCACTGGTCAGGTTCTAACGGTCGTCCCACGGGAGTTTGAGAGTAAAATGAATAGAGAGTGTACTTGTCTCTACCCACATAGTCGTGCGCTATTATATCTCCTGCGTCGAAAGCTAACATTTCTTATATGTAGTGATATACTCTATGGCTAACATCAATAATATTGGCCACCGTGACCGTGAATATCGGTACCGTGAACGTAATTCGATCAAGAGGACAGTATTATTATGTAATGTATGATGTTTTCTTCTGTCGTTTTACTTTATCGGTGTGACGTGACAACCCGCCAGGCGTGAGCGTGCTGAACGACATAACGGAGGAGGTGCTGACGAGCATGGTGCGCGGGCGCGTCCCCGCGCTGTGGGCCGCCAAGAGCTACCCCTCGCTGAAACCGCTCGCCGCCTATTTCAACGATCTGCTCGCCAGGCTTGAATTCTTACAGGTGCTCTTGACTAATATACGTATATAAATTATTTTAGGTTGCTATGTGAATGCTATTTTATAAAGTTAATAAAAGATAGAGCGTAGAATTTATATAGACATAATGTTTTATTTATTTTATCATAATCGTAAGCATATTTCATTAGTTTGTCATTATACAATGCGTAAGTAAAGAGTTTAAAATCCGTAAGGTATTAGGCGCCCAGATTAGATGTATATTTATCAAGCGTATAGCTAACGTATGAAGGTAATTAAAGGCGTGGGACCGATATTAATTATTAATAATTTAATGTATTTATTATTTACATTATTATGACATGTACAAAATCAGTTATAAGTTATTAAAATTGATAAATAATCGTCCTGATTCTACATCAATAAATGATTTTTTAATTTGATTTGTGTGGTAGCACTGGCACGAGTACGGGCCGCCGGCGGTGTTCTGGCTGTCGGGCTTCTACTTCCCGCAGGCGTTCCTCACGGCGGCGCAGCAGAGCTACGCGCGCAAGTACCGCATACCCATCGACCAGCTCGCCTTCCACTACGAGGTCGTACACTTTTACTGCTTATTTCATGCCAGCGTTACTTGATACGTCGCTGGGTTTTTTTTAATGTTGGGAAATGCATTTACGCATACCACCTGTAGACATATAGATCCCTAGATGCCTAAGAGTAGCCCAACTTCAAATTATAGTCGTATCTATGTACTAAATTTTACCCAAATCCGTCTAGAAGTTTTCGCATCCGAACACATATATACATACGAACACGCATATACATACGCACACAAATTTTCGCATTCACATGGTTGATCGATTTCAAAAATGTATGAGGTATTCGACTAAAATGCCATATCTTCTTCAATTGTGAATTTCATTATTCTTTTGATTAAATCTGAAAGAAAACAATCAGCAAAGCATGATGTTCATTACAATGATAATAATCAACATCGTGTTTTGCTTATAGCAAATAAGCAGGTTTTATTTTTATTCAAAATAACCATTACATACAACTATTATTTTTTATATTAGATTATTTATTTTATCAGAAATACATATTTAGATTGTTTAGAAAATATATATACCTACGCATACTTTTAATATTATTCAAATGTAACTTAGCTACTTACGGAGTAGTATGCATATGAAATATGACGTTGACTGTTGACAGCAGCCATTGTTTAATATAATTTGATATAGAACAGGAAGTACGTGTGTAATTGGATTTCATGTAGCCTTTTTGTTGAGTGCTTTACAAGCAAATTCATTTTGTTCTGTTAATAATTTCAATAAAATTCCAATTAGCTTCTCGTAATTGGGTTGAAATTGCAGATACTGTGATGAAAAATATATTTTACTTTACCTTAAACGAGATTTTCAGTGGACAAATTTTGTCAAAAGCAATTATTAATTAAAAAGCGGAAGGTCGGGTGTGTCGGGTACATCCACTGTGTAATCATCGTGCTAACGCTCTATGAAATATTATATCTTTATAAAAAAGAAGAGGTGAACTTTTTTGTGCGTATTATTCATAACTTTTTTCATATTTAAATAAACATACTCGTAATGTTACGAACATAAAAGATCTACAATTATAATTGAATTGATCTAATTTGACTATATCAAAGTATTTGCTTAAATAGACAATTTTCTACTTCCATTTAAAATATATTAATAATAATACATATATTACGTAGTTAATATTTAAAGGCCAAATATTAAATATCTGGAACAACCCTGCCTTTGACCAATGCGAAACGAATTCACAATCAACAAAAGTGTATAGTTTGTCAATAAGCTTTCATAAAATTGACACGAGACTACTAGTTGGGTCACGTAGCTACAGACAGGGGTCAAGTTCTCTCGAACGGGACTCGATGGTGTTGTAGGTCCAGCGGTCTCTCACCCTGGAGGAGCCGCCCGAGGAGGGCGTCTACATCCGCGGCCTGTTCATGGAGGGCGCGCGCTGGAACATGGACGACTACATCGTGGACGAGTCGCTACCTAAAGTGCTCTACGATGATTTCCCGCCGGTCAGTTTAACGGATTACGTTATTTGTCTCGATATTCGATTACTAAGACGTACGTACGTTGCACACCACTGTTGTATTCATCGTTATTACTTTGTAGAGGGTTACGTGTATACTTTAAGTTGGGTTCTTAGTAATTGTTAATTTTTTAATAGAAAAGAATTAAGCAGCTCTATTTCAGATAGCCACAAATCAAGTACACTTAAATATGAAAACATATAACAACTTCATTTTCAAAGCCGAAATCTTATCGTGTCGATTTTTTTACGTACAATACACAGGTTCGTCATTAATGCGTTTATCTAAAATGTTTACGTCTTACCGTTTTATATTTATTCAGAATTTATATCAATTTTGGCAAAGTTATAAAAAAACTTTTAAAAAAATTTCCATATTATAAGTTATAGTGTTCGTTTATAGTAAGTTTACAGTATTTAACATTAGCCTATGTGCTACTCCAGGTTATAATCTATCTTTGTATTAAATATTATTCGAATCCGTCTAGCCGTTCAGCTTGTAACATAACAAATATACACACATATACAAACTTTCGCATATACTAACTATAATAGAAGCTCTATTATGGTACATGAAATTCTGATCATCGATAGAAATAGATATAATATAAGACACTAGCGACTCACTCTCGCTTCGCTAGGGTTCGTCCCTAGGTACGTTTTAACGGTAAGTATGAAATACAAATCTCAGCTTTTCTATACTATAATATGCATGTATTATACATATAAACATTCCTCTTGAAATACTTTATCTATTAAAAAACCGCATCAAAATTCGTTATGTAGTTTTAATAATCTAAGCATACATAGGGACAGACAGACAGCGGGAAGCGACTTTGTGTTATACTATATAGTGATAACATTTGGGTCGGGAGTAAGCGGTGGCGTGCCGTCAGGTGTGGCTGGTCCCGCTGAGGCGCGAGGACGTGCCGGCGGGCGAGCTGTACCACTGCCCGCTGTACAAGACGGGCGCGCGGCGCGGCGAGCTGTCCACCACGGGCCACTCCACCAACTACATCCTGTACATGCGGCTGCCCACCGCGCGCGCGCCCGACCACTGGATCATGCGCGGCGTCGCGCTGCTCACGCAATTGCCTTTCTGAAGAAACTTTATTTACTATTTGTTATTTATATTATTTATGAAATAAATGATTGTCTAGTCGTTTCTTAGCTTTATTTTACTTCTTAGGATTCCTCTTCCTTAATACTTTACCTATATTATTTATTTATTTAAGAATAAATTATTGTCATCATTGTGTTGTAGTGTTGTTTTATTACCCGACTGCGACGAAGCCCAAAGGAAGGTTATGTGTTCGACCTGTATGTATGTATGTCCGATCATATGTTCTCTCGTAATTACTAAATAGCGTAATCTACGTAAAGTAACATACGTCGTTAGATTCGTCAAGTATCATAGGCAGCGCCGTATTATCCATAAGGCAGTGTAGGCAAATGCCTAGGAACTCCGCATCGAGAGCTTCATGCATCGAGAAAAAAAATTGAAAATGTTTCATCGAATGATATTTTTTTGAAAAATTATAAAATATCAGGTGAAAATTCCACTATGAGGACAAATACCTACAACAGTTAGATTTCTATGAAATCTACCTAATAGCGTAATTACGATTATAGTTGCTTTTACTATTTTGGTAGAAAAATGTACCCATTTCAATACGTAGAAAAAGGGTGAAAGTGCCCTGAGAGTTGCATTGCCTGGGTACCAACGTGGTAATTCGGCCCTGAACAGAGGGTATAACGATATCATTAAAAATTAAAAATGGCGGATCCCAAGCGCCAATTTATGTATCTTGAAAATTTTTATCCGAATGATTAAAATTGCTCCGAATGCTACTTCGACTAATACTCGTCTTCCAGAAATTTCTAGCTGGCACCTTAAGCAATATATCTGAGCTGAGGTGTAGAATAACTGCCTCGTAGGTTTTTAGTTTCGTATACTTCAGTTGTTTACCTTTGTGACTGGAGACTAGTAGTGATAGCACTATTACCTGTGGTGTCCATAACTAACCCTTTATGGTATCGATACTCCAAAGGATCTCGTAACTATAAAAATATCCTGCGCTAGAAACAATCGAGTCCATATCTATTTCAAGCAGATTCTATTTTTCAATATATCTACTTTTGAATTTCATAATTGACAACTCGTTTAGCTCAGTTTGTAGTGACCCTACTTGCTGTGCCAGTGGTCGCGGGTTCGAGTCCCGTTGAGGGCATTCATTTGTGTGACGAGCACGAATGTTTGTACTCCAGTCATGGGTGTTTATATTTATAATATGTATGTATTTAAAGTTATATATGTGTATTGTATCAATTATCTGGTATCCATAACACAAGCCTCGTAGCTTACCATGGAACTAGATGGTGATGTGTGTAAATGTCCCAACAAAAGAATAATAATAATAATAATACGACATACATACATAGATACTTAGTTAAATCATTTTTTAAAATAGTCATAACTGGGCAAATAAACTAAGATGAAAATATAAATAATTGAGCTATAATAATATCTTTTGCCTGCTCATTTGAATGTGGCAACATCAAGAATGGACAATGCAAATGCATTTCCTTTGCGAGAAGTGGAATAATTACTTATTTAAAGTCAAGCCAGTTTTAATTAAGACTGAGCTACTGCACTCAGCACGTGTACACAATTATTAATATATTATGGATTAGAAGGAAAATTAAGCATCCATTTAATTTTTATTCTGAGAATAAAACAACCTCGAGTATTATATTTTTAAAAGGGTTAATATTAATATTAAATTACTGAAACGGGAACTCGGAAAACCTTTAAATCAGTTCAACAGTTCTCAAATTGACACGAAGAGTTAGGCACGAGCATTATATCACCTTAGCTTTTGTATCAGGTACTACTTAAAAAACTAGAAGGCACTCGAATGTATATTGGATGGAAAAATTTTCTTTCTTTCCGAGGGGAGACCTTGCCTAGATTGCCCAATTCTATTCCAATGCTTGTCTTTTACTCGTTAGCAAGCTTTGTATGTAATTCTCTAAGTATTACATTTCATTTTTTTATGAAAGACTTAACTTGCAAATTATTATTATGACTCAACAAACAAATCCATTTTAAATGTCATATAACTTGCTTTATTTACTTTGTTTTTAATAAAAGGCAGTCTTTGTTCTCAACGCTCTACACTTTGTACGTAATTATTAGGTAATCTTGCCTTGTCGCAGGTCAAGTTAATTAACATTAATTTTATTTCGTCTTTGTGAGAAGCTCGCTTGTGAACAAAAGGCTTATTTTGTATTGTGTCGCTCTTAGAGAACTTATTTCTAAGAGTGTTTTTAATTTTCGTAAAAATTTCAACACAAAAACACTACTGCAAATATTTTTACAACAGACATCCATTACATTTTTTTAACTTTGAAAGACTTTTAGAAAAATGGAAATCTTTGAGATAGAATTGATCACTATGAAATATAAGTCTTTGAAATTTGGTATGGAAATTTTATACTATGTGAATCCATGTCTTAAAAAATATGATTATGTGGCAATGGCTATAAATTATTTATTTCTAATTTATGGGTTCAAATAAAACCTATATTTTCTATTAACACCTGTTGCTATTATTATTATTTTTTTCATTGTATTTATTATATTTATTATATAGTATTCAACAAGCGACAGAATATCTTATATTCGAATTGCAAATGATGGTGCGAGCAATGTAGGGTAATAGGCGCGGCGTAATTCGAAAGCACCCCAGCCAGTGTAGGGTCAATGTCATCGTATGAGACGCGATATTTTGTCGTGGGATTCCGCTCCATAGCCGCGACTATTGCGATGACTCGGAATTAAAGCGTATTACGCTGCCCTGTCATTTAACATGAAAAAGCTCGCATCCCAGATACGGCATGTATTAAATAAGCGAGTAGTGGGTAGGGGGATGTAGTACGGGAGGCACTCGGTCTGGCGCGGCGTCACCCCGGTAACGCGAGATATTGATCTGCGCGATCTCCCGCGCAGCATCCCGCCCCGCGCTTCCCGGCCCCTGCTGTCGCCCTCCACCCCCGAACGCGCCCTTGATCTGCTCGACCGCCGCCCTCGCCACCCCATACAAATACTTATTACACTTTGCACTGCATACTCCACGTAATTCAATGAAGAAATTTCTCTTGCACCATACAAGAGAGTATGCAAGAGCTCAGTACTCCACCTTTTCATCTAACCAATTAGTTCAATGCTGAGTTGGATTTTACATAAGAAAATACGCTGAAGTAGGTTTAACAAGCCAAATGACTTTATTCCCTTATTTATTCTTGTAAAGAAAACTGCATATGTACCTACAGAATAAGAATAGGAAAAACATCTTAATAAAATAAACGAATAAAACCGCGTTTTTCAATGCACAATACAATAAGCTTTAGAAATTTACGGGAAACAAAAGCTGTAAACGGAATGGAGCCATTAAATACGTTAACAATACTAACTGACGACAAACTACGTGAATAAAATGCATGAAGGAAATTCTACGTCGTTTCGTTTGTAAAAGATTTCCTTTAAAGAACCAAAGCGAGCATACATATCCTTTCATGAAAAAGAGTTACACCTAGATCAATTTATTGAATATTAGATCAGAATTCAGAAACGCCCATTTGATCTATACATGAACTATGTACTACAAAGTGAATTCTGTATTTTATTATACTACATTTCTCCAGCTTTGCCCGCATTTGAAGCATCTTCACGAGTATTTATTTATACAAAATTTTAACATCTAGCATGGCCTATATATGTAGATGTAATTTCTAGAAATCGCTTTTCATTATAACTTCAGGATTCTCCAGGAATATTCATATAATTTTTAAATTCAAAAATTTTGTGTAGGCGTTGATATGTCATTTAAATATAATAATAATTTAAAGAAAAATATTATATCATGGTGACATATTGCTACCATCGGAGGACTGGTATATTCCATTGACTAAAGGCTCAGGGGAAATATTTACATCGGCGAACTATTCGTGTATCATTACGATTTATATTAATTGCTACACCTCTATGCGTTTCTATTATTATTTATATCTTAGGGCAAAACAGCATAATGAGAGAGAGGCCGTGGATGATACATGACTGCGACCTTTTCGTTTTATGTTTTACGACTTACCGAGATTTTTTGCTTTGTAAAAACGTATAACCTTACGAATAAAAAAATAATCTATTATATTACGTAATTCTTTGTTACATCTTTATCTTCGGAAAATATTAAATAGTGGTATATACCGATATCAGAGACAGTTAGATAACTATCTTGAGCTTCTAATATGGTTTAAGAGCACCACAGATTCCATGGTTTATAGTCAATTAATAAGTGAGTACCTCTTTGGTTTTATTTTAACTTTGGCGTTCAGGTTAAAACTCCATTTTATAAATATCCATTTATTTTATACTCGGAATTCTTCTGAACTTCAATATGATATATATTATGTTTTGGATACGCTGCTATCGTTATAGTGGACCGTACATTTTCGTTATAAGCGAGCTAAATCTCCTTCAATTTTTCAAGCTGCGAGCAAACCACTGGAAAAAAAGCGAAAAATAAAGTCAACAACGTGCGCTATCTCTCGCTACGAGGATTTAATTAAAATGCAGCACTTACATCTGCCCATTCGCTCTCAAAGCACTGATCCAAAGTATAAGCACTCAACTAAACGTTTCTAATTAAATTATAACATTTAAATACTTCGCCGTTTCATCATTTATTTGTATTTAATTATTGTTTAAGTAAATTTCATTGATGACTGATTTTTTAAGGTTCAATAATTTTTCAGATATTTGCTAAGTGGAATATAGGTTTTTTTTTATTATCTAATGTACTAATTTTATAATAAAATTCTATGTTGAAAAATGACTACGAAAATAACTTTCAGTAAACAATATTCAATTATTAGTATTCCATTATATAAATAAACCACGCATTATGAATAATTCTGATGGTTGGTGAGACTTTCCGTCAAAATGCAATATGTATTTCAAAACCGCACAGAAAAGAGACGATGTAGTTCCAATTGCCTATGAGAGAATAGTATCAATGATACAATTTAACATTGTGTGTTGCCATTATTGCTTGTCAGTACTGTTGATTATTTTCGATTGTTTTTTGTTTGATTTTAAGAACTCAATTTATTACTCGTATCAGAAAATAAATGATAATATATATATAGGTCATAGGTTCAACATTTATATTTATATTCACAATAATTTTATCTCAAATAACATATAAAGTTTATTTAAATATATTTACTACAATTATATAACATGCTGATATGAATATGCAGGGCAAACATCAATCGCGGTGAACCCCTTAGCAAGGGAGGTTGGAAAAGTTTAGCCTGTCTGATCCGATAAAAGCTTACATTGGGCCCGCTTCGGCACGCCGTATTTAAACGCTCTATTTTAGATGGTGTTCCTATAAACCTGTCGTAGATATGGCCGGCCGGCAGAGCGCGGCTCGACCAATCGCTTATTGGGATTGGAAGCAAAGCCTTTTGGGAGACGACCGCCAGCGGCCTTCCAATTTTAATGTTATGTAAGCGAACTGTATTAATCTACGCGAAGCCTGATCAAATATGAAAACCAATTTAAAATAAACATCGCTCTTGGCCAACGAGTATGGCTGATTACAGGATAGAAATATTTTATAATTAAATATTTTGTTTAATTAAAATTGCAAATCTATAGATAACTCTAGTAGTTATCTATAGATTTGCAATTTTGATTCAAATGAAACGTTTACAGACATTATTTTAGATTTTTTAAATATTTTTTATGCACGAGAGCGTATTCTAACCCCCGACGCAAAAACGACGTGGTGTTATAAGTTTGATGTGTCTGTCTGTGTGTCTGTCTGTGGCATCATAGCTTCCGAACGGATGTACCGCTTTTGATTTTGTTTTTTTTGTTTGAAAGGTGAATTAGTCGGGAGTGTTCTTAGCTATGGTCGGGAAATTTTTAATTTAACTCTCTTGTATACAATAAAACTATAACCCTGAATTGCTAGTACAACTATATTTTAGACCGCCTTTACATATGACTCTTTAGCCCGCCTAAACTTCTAAACTAACCTGATGTAAATTATTTAGGAGTTCATATTGAATAATCGAAATGTCTGTATATCCCTCTCATCTACTCAAAGGAAAAAAATCCTTATTATCTCACAAGCAAGGTCGCAATTATACATTTAACTATTATTGCAACCGATTTGAAAACGGAAGCAAATCCCGGGACTTGCACCTCTAATATTTTCATATGCATTGAAATTGATTCTATTTCAATAATTATCACTCGTTTCAAGTAATGGAAAACATCGTGAGGAAACTTGCAGGTCTGAGAGAACTTAGCAAGTTCTCGAAAGACATGTGAAGTCCACCAAGCTGCACTTCGGCAGCGTGCATATATTAGGTATGCTTGATTGCTATGACTTGATTCCACTTGTATTGATGGGCGACCCGTATCCAGCAGTGAAACATTAAAATATATGACTACCATATACTTTGAATATTAAAAATGTATTATGTATACGTGAATAGAAAAACCTATCTTTATTTTATTTTTTCTTATTTTCGCATGAAAGCAAAGCTTATTCTGTATTAAGAGTGAGAAGAAATAAAACTCAGCGAGTTAATTGCAATTTATGCGTTATTTTAAAATTAAAATCTTTGATAAGCTTTTAATAAATGTTTGAATCTGCTTGGTACATTTAATATATAGGTATTTTATCACATTAATACCTCAAATATTGTGTGGGGTATATTCCATATAGATACAAATACGTTTACGCCCGAATGTAGAGTCCAAAGCTCCGCCACCCCTTTAATCCCTATGTACCAGTATAGCAATAGTTACAGTTATATTTATTATCTGAAACAGGTTTTGATATAATGCGTATTCATCAAAGCTAACGTGTGAATCATTATTTAATTGAAGGAGCGCAGGGTGCGCGGGCGGGGCAGATCGATCGTCTCGCGTCGCCATGGAAACGTACACCCCGCTCGTACCACCCGATTCATTTGTAATCATTTGTTTCACAGCTTTCGAATAATGGGCTTGTCAAATCATGAGAATATGATAAATTGTGTACATATCTACTATAAGTATATACTTTACAGGCTCAGTAATGCGTAAACTATCCTAATTAAACAGAGAAACTTACCTACTGAGCAAAATTTTTGTTAGATGAAAATTCAAAAGGAATTAGAAATTTTATTAAAATAAAATAAGCATGAGTAAATTATCTCGGAACTTCGTTTTGTAACTAGACTTGATCAAGCGGGTCTTACTTGTAGTTAACACAAGAGATCATGAGTGGAATGTGAGGAGAGAATGCCCGGAGCAAGTGCCGTAGCATGCAAATATTTCGGCGCTTGGCGCTCCTTTATCGAGAATCCTTGAAGCATAAGACGTAATACACCCCTACACGCTCCGTAATTTGAAGTCTGCCAAACAACCAATACAATAGTTTGCATGTTCCGCTTCTATAAAACATGACACAGATGTTGTGAAAATTCTTCGCAGAAATAGAATTTGTACCTACAGCCAAAATTCGTGCCTAGCTTTTCTTAAGTTTCACGTTGAAACTAAAAAGACTACATTCGGTTACATAAGTGGTTTTTTACACTCGTTATTAAAATTAAATTTTAATAGTATTAGTAGTAGGTAATCTATACAATTGAGGAGTCTGTTTGTAATGTCAAAATAACAGCTTTTTATTAAATTCATATCGAAATATACCGTATTTGTAAGAAAATCACATTTTTTTTAAAAATTGTCAGTCTGTTTATCTGTCTGTCTATTAGTTCCGGCTAATATCCGAAACGATTGGGTCGATTTTGGTGGGACTTCCATTGGCAGGTAGTTGATATTATAAGGAGTAACTTAGGCTGCTTTTATTTCAGTAAAAGAATTAGGGTTCCATCCAAAAAAAATAAATTGTACCAAAGGACGATCCCGAGCGAAGCGAGGGTGAGTCGCTAGTATAGAAATAAAAAAAAATATGTTTTTTTATATTCAGCTAGGTTATAATTTAGCTAATGGATAAATTTTATCTTATGATTGAATATAAAGTTGAATTTTATCTTAGGGCGAACCTACAGCCGATTTAACTAGTAGATAAAATATACAGATAATAAATATAATAAGAGAGCTATTAGTTGATAATATTGTCTGTCGATAATTAAAAAAATTAATAGATTAAGAAAAGATCTATTGAAGTTTGTTCACTTTCTACCATATACAAATTTATTATTGAATAAATTATCAGAAATTGTAAATGTCCCATCAGCATTATTTAAATATTATTTATTAAAAGCTAGTATAAAGTAAAATATAGTAAACACTGATGATACACTTCGCAGGCGAGTGTGGCAGCGTTGAGCTTTCTCAAGTAATTTTAATGGAAGTCCTCTTTGGGTCGCTGCGTGGGCGGCGGTAGGCGGCGGGGCGCGGGGTCGAGGGCAGCCACAAAATGAGATTTCCTTTGAGCTAAAACGCAGCGAGTGGTGACCGCCAGTAGCTTCGCCGGGATCGTGTCCCTCATATATCATGCGAGTTGCGACACACTCGTAATATGTAGGTACGTTTCGTAATAGATGATGTAACTTTGGTTTGGTTTAGTCAATTACATGTGTACAATAAAATTGACAGAAAAGTTCTGTACTGCTATATAAAGGTTATCTTAAATTGATTTATCATTTTTTAATGTCTAATATTTGAAAAAAATAATAAATAAATTTATATATGTAGGTATCAATATTAATTATTATTATTGTTTCATGAATGTTCATGAAAAAATAAAAAATAAATGAAAATAGCTCGATTTAAAAAGAAATGAATAATTTTAGAATTTGAAAACTAAATAGTAACTGAATTTTCTTGAATAAAAAATACTCGTAACTAGATAAAAGTCGATTTAGCCGCTTGCTTTCAGGTGTATAATTGGAGAAATAAATTGGTATTCACTAAACACTAATGGCGCGGTCCGGCAATCCCGGGCGCTGTTTATCGATGAACCCCGGCCGGAGCCTTACGCAAAATCTCATTGATGCCACCCTTACCCACCCCGTGTCATCGAGCCATTAGAGGCTGTATCGGGAGGGATCCACTCAATCACGCCGGACGTCCGTCAACTTTTGTATGCGGCCACCGCTCGCCGCCGGCTGTTTCATATAACCCATGTAACCTCCCTTCGCCTGAAGCGGACATTGGTTTATTTAGAAACAACAAAATAATATTCATAACACTAAATTTAGCTATTCGTCAATATGTCTAGTAACTATACCAGCACGGAAATAAGATGCTTTTATAGAATAGTAGTACTTATTACAGTTCGCTAAAGTCATAAGGGAAAAAGACTAATATAAAATACCATGGTGATAAGTTTCAGTGCTCGTATACGTGGTTTCGGAAGAGTTGTCTCAAAAGTTGTGCTCCCCTTGCGATAGCTTAACTAGTGGAGTTTGGAGTTATCGCCCGAGGCAACTCGGCACGTTTTGTATTAGCTTTCCGTTACGTGCCACCTGACACCAGTCTTATATGAAACTTTCTAACACTGCTAACGATCTGCACTAACTCTGCCTACTACCATACAACCAGCTGTCGAGTCAAAAAATTACAGTTTTTTTACTTTGAACTAGCGCTTGCCTATATTAAAATGTCAAAAATATTTTTATAGAATAATTAAGAACATTCATTATAAACGCAAATGTAACATATTCTACTATGTTATCTAAGACATATGGTTAAAAAGCATATATCCACTAATATATAATTAATGTGAAAGTTTGTGAGGATGTATTGATTGTCTGGATTGATGTTTATTACTCTTTCACGCAATAACTACTGAATGGATGTTAATGAAGCTTTTGAATAATATTTATTGCTCATACATCAGAATAACACATAGGCTACTTTTTATCCCAGAAAAATGTACGATTCCTCTGAGATAGAATTCATTTCTAGAGGTGAACCCGAGCGAAGCGAGTGTGAGCCGCTAGTTATAAATAAAATACACTGTCGCTCTACTCAACCTTCAACTACACTCTGAGTTTTCTTCTATAACTAATACTGAGAGAAAAAAGCTTATTTCATTTTCCGACACATAAACTATCTCTCTGTAAGGAACAAAATAATTTAAAATTACATTGACAAAGCAATGAAACTTATGAATTAGTTATATTAAAATAAAAATTGATAAATAACAATTAATCGACAACGTCGTATAAATAATAATAATTATTATGTAATCATTATAACTATAAATCCCCGTCAGTCGTTATCAATTATTTCTTTTTATTTTGATCATTTAATCATTACGATAACTACTCTTAGTAGATACTTTAGTATATTGGTACAGCTCCCGTACAGCCAAAAATATGTTATACTAAATATTCTTATCATTTTTTACTTTAATAATTTAAATTAATGTTTTCAATTAATATGCAGACCCCATTCACAAAAAGAACAACATTTTTTAATCAAAACCCCTTCTTTCTTGTTTTCAGACAAAAATTTATACAATTTTGCGTAGTAAAAGCTCATGAATACGCAAAGATTCTCCAAACAAAGAGACAGCTACTGTTCAGCTCCGCCCGCCTCAGGCAGCGCTCTCATATTTAGGCATAATTACACTCCTGCCAATATTTGTACCAACTCCAATATCACGAGGGTAACAAATTAAACGCACTTCAGTTCAAACAAGCCCAGATTCAATTCCGCCTGATTTGCGCCAGACGGAATTTATTATTAAGCTTTCATGTACATAAATAGGTAAAATGATACAATGTATGAATTATTTTTACTCATTTTGGTACATTACCTTATATTTATATTATGTTGTACAAAAACGAAATAAAAGATCTTTAACTAAAACTAAACGTAAACCTGACGTGTTTTGCTTACTTAGTTCACAGTTTGTAGGCTTGTTGATTTTGTTGGTGGCGGTTAGCTTTTACCATCTGTTTGCGGATGGACAGTCACGTTACGCGCACCGCTGCCCGCTACCAAACAACCATCCCTTTAACTGCAATTGTATTTATCCATACATATATACTGACTACATCTACTTTTGAATAATTATATTATAAATATTTTTACTTCATTATCTGTTTAATTTTAACTTAATTTAGTGAAATTTAAAAGTGTTACTTGAAACTTTTGAAACGCTCAAATTTTTATTTAATTCTAATCTCAATTAAGTACTGTTAATATTTTACAGTATAAATAGATTTATAACATATAAAGATAACAGTTATTTATACTATTTATTGTAAGCTATAAGTACCTACCTACTGTATACGTTTTCAGTTTAATTTCAATTCGAGCACCAAGAAACACGAGTAAAAGACAAAAATATAAAATGAAATTAAAATCTTTCCATTGAAAACATCCCGGTGCTCCTCATTTAAAAAATCTCATCTCTTCAGTAAGACAAAGCCGACGTCTGTTAATAATCGGCTTATATCCTCCCTCTTTGAAAGCATTTATTCAAAAATTCGAGACAGATGAGGGACGAGTCCATTTAATTTTGCTTTGGAGTGAATCTCATTATGTGACATAACATGTTATAAACGATATGCGCAAACATTGAGAGCAGTGCCTTTACCGGTGCTACCTTCTTTATCTCTATTTAAGTATATTTATATTCACAAGAATATGATCATAATAATACACTCTTTTTTTCAATGCTTCGAATATTATTACATTATAATCTAATTTTAAACAATTATTATTAATGCAATCAAATGTTATTATACGGGAGAAGTATGTCACCTGTTATAGGTATTTTACTTATCAGGACAATTCATACTTCTTATATCCTAATGTCTATTGTTATTTTACAAGTTGCAGTTCTTTTATAAATATACTACTCGTAGTGATTTACCCTCACTTCGCTCGGATGCGTCCCTACCCCTAGGTAGGTTATAAATAGATATGAATAGTTATTGCGAGTGTATCTTAGGAGAAATATTTATGCTATTGCAGGTTTTTTTGGGCCTTATTAAGACCTACATTTTTCTAGTACATTGTTTTGATGTGTCTGTTTAGCCAGCGTTAGCTAAATAAATTTCTAAGGACGACTCGATAGAACCAGTTTTTGTGTTTTCCCGTGGGAATGGAAAATTTTTATGTGGTAAAAAATATTCCAAATGTTGACACGAGCAATACTTACTTAGTACTTTTTGCGTGAAACGCGAACACACAAACAGACAACCAGACAAAAAATTTAATAACTATTGTTTTGAGCTCTATATTCTGTACACAATACGTTACAGACAATATTTTTTTCTTTTTAATATTTCATGTACAGGTTTCGCAAAGTTACCGTTTTATTATACGTATGTATTAGCTCGTTTCTGTATAAAGATATAGATTTTTCTTTGTGAAACATATCGCAAATATTTTGGTTGTTATATGCTATCTCTATTAGATTCAGAGTGTCACTATAGCGACGAGCTCGCCCGGGCTCGCGCCGCCCTGAGAGTCAGCACGCGCTGCTAATTCACCTGTCTCCCACGCACACAGGCGCGCTCACCTGCCCCCGCCGCGCCCGGCGCCACCTACACAGCACACACACACATTACACGCCACTATGCACTTACAACAAAACCCCGTGCATACGTCGCAACGCATAACATCAGACTCTATCGCGTGTCACAAGAGTCGTATTTTTAATGAAAGCAGCTTGGATCCGGCGGCAGTGAGCTAGCTGTAGCCCGGGCATCGGGTCTAGATATGCTTGTTAAACCCGCCTGCATCCGACCGTAAAGTAACTGCATCGGAAGCGAAGCAGTCACCTTAGAGATTGCTTCGGCCTTCGGGCACGGAATTTTAAACCGTTTTTGCCATTTCGTTTATCACTAGTTTCCTACTACGTTTGCAATGTGCAAATTCAATTCGAATGACTTTACGACTCGCCGCGTCCCGTGTTGTGAGCGGAAATTCCTCGTGCAGGTTTGTGAAAAGCTTCTCAATGTGGCATGCCACTGTGAATGTATGATGTCAGGGAAACTTAAGATGTTGCTTTCATATCATGGCATACTTCCAATTTTTCCGAATTTCCTATCAACGTGATAGTTTTCATAAAGTCAAAATTTTTGCTACTGTGCTTTTGACCTACTTATTGTATTTTTTTGTATTAAATACGAATAGGTTAGTTGGATTTTGTTTAACTATTGTACTATTATTGGCTCAAAACTTTTTATAACATAATATTCGATTGTAGGTGTATGGTTTATGCTATTTCATTTATATATATAAATTAATATTGTCTGCCATGCTTTGTGCTAAATTCATTTTGTGTTAAATGACAAAGCTCTACATTACTCCACTTGCTCTCATAATTCGGAGCAGCATTATCGTTTAACTTCTTTATGGTTTTATTTTGGTATGAAATTTAAAGATTATTATTAATAGAGAAATAGCGGTGAACCCTCGCTTTGCTCGGGTTCGTCCCTAGGTACGTTTCAACGATTAGTATGGAATAAATACAGTGTATATTAGATCTCCTTTTCTATTTTATGTCGGAGGAAATGCAGACTTGACTAGTTACGTACATTTTCTATTTGTTTATATGTGTATTATATTACTTTGTCGCTTCTTTGTCGAAGTAACGACAAGTCGCAGAACTATTTATATTTGAAAATTTTATAAAATACAAAATGATATTAGGAATTTAATTTTAATTTTTCATTTTCCAATAATGAAAATAAAGTAAAACTGGTTAATTACGTATTTCCTACACCAAAAAGTTCCTTATAACTAATTCCACAGTTAAAAATGCAACTAAGGACTCATCGGTCTTTCTTGTGCTCTCAGATGGCATTCATTAACATCGCTTTTTATCTACTTTAATTAAAAATTCTTTCGTGCTTCGTTCTTAGCAATTTTGTCATAGAAAACCTAGTTTTTACATTTTAATTACTTAATAAACTTATTTTAATTACTTTCTTAAATTAAATTGAAATTAATAAACAGTAGATATAAATTGTAACATAATTACAATAGCTATGTAAAAAAAATATAAAAATATATCAGCCGTGATATCTACGAGCTATAATTGTCTCTTTGAAAAAAATGACTACAATTTATATTTCAGTTTTTTCGCCCTTTATTTGTGTACTAGCAACTCACCCTCGCCCCGCTCGGATTCGTCCCTACTTACTTTTTAAAATTTAGCATAGATTTCTCAGATATGAGATATTTTCCCGCAGTCAAAAGTAAGGATACTTTTTACTGCGGGAAAATATCTATCGTGACTCGGATAATTAGCTATCATCATACCAAATTTCATCAAAATCCCTCTAGTGGTTTTCCGTGATGCGGTCATAGACAGACAGACAGACAAAAATTCTAAAAGCTATAAATTCGGCCTCTGTATCGATAATAATGTCTATTTCAATAAGATTTTCCAAAAAATATTTGTATTTAATAATACAAACTATTATTTATTACTATATTTTAATGAATGTTCCTACGAAATCCTTAGAGTCCAGAAACCCTAGGGTAGTTCCATAATAAAAATTAAAGTAAGCATATGCATTTCTTTATGAGTCTAAAATTTTAAAATTGTTAGTAAATAAGGCGCAAAATCAAATTGCTTTGGTGGAGCCAAGATCTTTTCCTTTTACATTTCCTATTTGATATAGATTTGACATCGATAGTGAAGAAATATTGCTTGCAATAAGATTTTATCAAGAGTTCTATGCTTCGATATATAACATATTGAAGAGCATTCCCAGTAAGGTTGACCTGTATATTTTTTTATGTGGTTACCACTAAATATGAATATATAAAATATGACTATATGATTTTTTTAATTTACTTAAAATAAAAATGCTTCAAAATATTCTTATGAAAATTACATATACGTATATTACAATAATTCTGACCTTCCATTTTGTATGTAAGCATTTACATAGTTTACCTACAGACAAGGATACAATCGTTGTATTGTACCGCTTTATAGCGTAGCATTCCGCACAATGTCGTAGATTTGCCCTAAGTACGATGAAATGTTTACTTTCTTAGGCAAGTATTGATCGAATTCATATTTAAAACCTTATTTTTATTCATATATTAATCTACATAGTATGTACTAAGAGAACCCGCGGCTTCGCTCGCGCTAAAACTACAAAAAAATCTTTAAAAAGGTGATGTCATACAAAGTTTCATCCCCAATTTTACACCCTTATAGAATGAATTTCGAAAAATGCAAAAACACGTATTTGTTTAATTTTATTGAAGAGCATCAATACCAAGTTTCAAGTAATTCTGACTATAAATATTTTTTGGATTGTATTATAACATGTTTTCCGCCCTCGGTAAAAAGTAAGATGGTTGTTTGTTTGTTTGTTTGTCCTTCTTTCACGTCGAAATGGAGTGACGGACTCGGGTGATTTTTTGTGTGGAGATAGTGGGAGGGCTGGAGAGTGACATAGGCTTTTTCAACCGACTTCAAAAAGAAGGAGATTTTCAATTCGACTTTCTTCTTACTTTGCTACTACTTCGTATACACTAAAAATGATTAGATGACGTTGCGGTTTGTTCGATTAGAAAGCCGTGAATGTGTGCAAGAGTTACAAGAGTACGCGCGTACACTTACAGACATTATTTTTTTATATTTTACATGCAAATAATACAATAAATAAATTGAAATATCGGGCAAATCACAGGGTGATAACACGTCACTTAAACAGAGTCAAAATATTTTAAGATTCTGTTAATTTTTTATTTTTTCAGAGTTATGACATATTTTTGTTACATTTCATGTTGTTTTATGAAAGGTGTGATTATTAAGTACAGAATTAAAAGTGCCTATTCCTAGACCAACTTACCCTATATATGTATATACCTATACTAAAATACAAACAACAATGTTATGACAGTGAATTATTTTGATTACCTGTTGAGTTGAGTTTTATGTACATATTGAAATAAAGTTTATACAGTATAAAAATACTTTGAGTGAATTCTTGAATTATTGAAATATTATTTCAAACTGTAATGTAATTATAACATGTTTTCCGCCCTTGGTAAAAAGTAAGATGGTTGTTTGTTTGTTTGTTTGTTTGTCCTTCTTTCACGTCGAAATGGAGTGACGGACTGGGGTGATTTTTTGTGTGGAGATAGTGGGAGGGCTGGAGAGTGACATAGGCTTTTTCATTCAAATATTGGTATAAAACAGTCTATCCAAATGTACTTCATATTTTATGAAAAATGATATAAGTCAACAACAAAATCCCCTCGGAGAGATTAGACGGAGATCCTTTATAGCTTAATCCAATTACTAGAGTATAGAATTAAATAATGAAGTAATATCATTGTTGGCAACTCTCATAGTTGGTAACGAGCTCGCGTCCGGGGACCACTCGTGATAACGTCTGCACTTAATTTTCAATTCAAACAAGACAAGTCACTCTCTGCCATGGTAGAAGCAATTTCTGTCTTGAACAGGCTCATATAGAGACACTACATGGGAAAAATTTACAATCTTATATTGTAAAAGCTAAGCAGACTTATAAAATAATTGCGGTTCATCCTCGCTTTGCTCGGGTTTGCCTTTAGAAAAAACAAAGACAAATCTATCCCACGGGAACCGTAGATTTTTCAGGGATAGAAAGTAGGGCATTAGCCCTATTAATGATAAAAGTAGTGCAGTAAGTGCTATTTCAGACTATAATCTGTCTCTGTGTCTTTCATCCAGATCTGTTCAGCCGTTCTGGCGTGATTGAGTAACAAAAATACAAACATCCAAACATCTAAACATTCACATTTATAATATGAGTAAGATTTTAGAAATTTAGGAGTTAACGATGCATGTGAGATAATACTATCTTTATATTTTTATTTTTCCTTGATTGATCCTACTTATATCATTTTTTAAAGAAATATAAAGGTCATTCGAAATCTGGTCGCCTAGGGCGAGTGTAAATAACGTGATCAGCTATAAAGAGTTTATAATGAAGAGTGCTCAAAGGCATCGAGGCGGCATCTGAAGCGCGGACGACCGGGCGGCCGGGCTGCCAGGCAACCTCGCGAGATGCACCGAGCAACCCCTAATTGAATAGCCCGGCCGGGGCTAATCAGGGCTCAGCTGAGCGGTGCAGGCGGGCGGGGTGGAGGGGCGCGGGGCGCGGGGTGGCATGTCGCGGGCGTAGGGGCGCGGGGTCGCGGGTCGGTCGCCGGAGCCACGCGGGCTAGCCGCGCCCCCTGCGCGCGCCGCTCCGCCCGGGAAGCTCATTCAAGTAGCGAGCGCGCCCTGTACCAGCCGCCACCCTCAGGTATGTCCATTTTGCTTTTGGTGTTTGCACGTCGTGTACCGTTGTCCGCGCGCTCCGCGAGTGTCAGTACTGTGAGTGAACCGTGAGCCGGCGAGGTACGTACGCATGCACCGTCCGTGTCGCACCATACTGTTCTGCGCTCATTTCAAATGTGACCGCTGACAAACTACCCCGAACATAATCGTGTCTTTTCACAACCTTTCAAAAATAGTGACGACCCTGTGAATACGCGTTTGTATATTTAATGAAGAAAGAGACTAAAATTACTTAAGCTAAATTAAAGAAAGTATTAAGTGAGTGTACGCGAAATATAAATTTTACGGAAAATAGCTAAAGTCGAAAATGAAAATTGGAAAACCGTATGAGACCATATAATAATATTGGTTTTATGTTAAACTGATATTATTTCCAATATTTAAATGTCACAATGTTCGCTTTATGTTTTGCATGATCTGTCTAAGCTTTTTATGTTGCGAAAATTCGTTCAATGTCCGTATCTCTTCTATTTCATCGGAGAGGTGCTCAACATACGGTAAGTGAAATAATTATCACCTTTTCGCTTTTTGTACTCTTTAAATAAAATCAAAGATATTTTAAACTTCTGTGTCGCGATGGCCTAGTAAAAAACATTTACTTAATCATGGGTATATTTCAAGAAACACTAAACAGATTGCCTCATTTTAAATTCACAAATACCTTTAATTACTCATTGTTTAAGCAGGATATTAAAAATATTTGTTTAGTATAACTTGAATAGCCATTCTAAGTATATTCATAAATAATGTACGTTTAATACGTAAATAATTTAAGAAATCCTTCGATACCGGGAGCGACCAGGATATATAGATTGAGATGATCTAAACCAATTCTGGAGCGAGTGGGAGGGAAGGGAGGTACTTTCACTGGCGCCGCCACTTCACCTTGCCGGCTGGCTCGCTGCCAGCTCAGCCTTCGAGACACATCACGCGTTTTATGTTTAGCTTTATGTCGCTTTTTCGTCTTTGTATGTCTATGTAATGTGTAGTTACTTGCTCGATGTTCAAAAAAATATATATTATATAACTATTATCAAATTACTAACGAAAAATTACCTATCGAAACGGCATTAAACATAGTAATAAAAGATATTGTACAATCTCTACATGTACAATTTAAAACTCTCGGAATAAATTATGAATGAAATATGAAACATTTGTATCTCATTTTGAATATTTAATAAAAAATATATAAGAATATTCCATTTTAAAATTGACATGTTCTTGCACAGCGATATTTAATTTTTGCGAAGAACAAAATAAGATGTTAATACCTACCCCAAGTGAAAGTGCGTGACGTTACTTATTACAACATATAATTTTAGCCAAACAAAAGCATTGTCAAATACGTTTTAAAGCACGTAAAGTAGGTTACAATTAATAGAAATTCATTTCAAGTTTCAGTTCAAAATATACATACTTAATAGTCAATATAACTATTTTCTTGAATAAACTCCTCGGTGTCATCTAACTGCGCAACAATATAATAATAAAACAAATATAAGTAGGTTTAAAATAAACTACGTAGTTTAATGAGAATAGACATTAGATATGTATAAATGCTTAATTATAACGCCTAACTCTACAACACGTCCGCTCTTTACGAAAATCATAAATCTACGTAGCACGTAGCAGTCGCTACGAGACCGTCGTAGATAAAACACCACGTCGGGAATTTTAATCACAACATTCTTTATGAATAATCAATTTCTTAATACACTAATTCTTTTAGTTTATAATATCAAAATAATAATATTTGAAAGTATCGTTTAAATATTAATAGTGGTGAAAACTAAAAAAACGGCCGATTGTGGAATTCATTTCAAGACTAAACTTAGGTATGATTTCATTAATTAAAATTATATTATTTAATTTTAAGTTACTTAAAAATATAAAGTTATTACAATTAAGTACAAGCTACAAAAATATAATTAAAATATAAAAGCTTTATGTGAAGCAAAAATATAGGGCAAAGCTCATTGTACAGAATAATAAATGAAAAGCAATAATTTTAAAAATATCGATTGTTTAAGCTTTAAGTTTATTATAATTCAAAAAATAAGAATAAAACTCAGTATTTTTTTACAATACCAAAGATTGCAAAGATTAGTAGAGTTAAGCAACGGTCACTGAGTGATAAGCGCCTTATCTGGAAATCAATGGTTGTCATGATAAACAAATGATACTACACCTGACATAGATTTTAATAATAATATTAGTAAATTATGTTACATTTTACTTGTGAGCTAGCTTAATTAAAAGCTGAGCTTTAAATTAGCCATATTGAACAGTATTCCTATAAATTCGTGCGAATTAAATATCAAGACAAAAAAGGTCATTAGCACGAATATGTAATACAGTTCGGGGTTTCTTCTTTATCTAAACTTTACTTATACAATGATTAGTCTGGAATGAATTAATTTAATTCATCGTGTATTACGAATGACCAAATTAAATTATATTATTATTATACATTTTGTTTTCTAATATTTTATTTATACTTAACTTAATTTCAGTTACATTAATTGCGTGAAACTTCCAGGAATCTTTTCTTAGCAGTTACAAATGATATAATACAAATAGTCAATGCCACTTTAGGAATATACAGTCAATATTTTAAACCTTTAGCTTCAGTTGTTTGATCTAGGTTATAATGAAACAGGATTAGTGCTTTATATACATACATATTATATTTATACATAAAACATATACTTATATACATACTTACTTACAGACATCATACTTACTTACATACATATTTATGTACATAGTGCCACATTAATTGTTCTTTTCCCATATAATTTGAAATAATTTTTGACTATTAATATACTATTTTTTATACAAATTGCCACCCCTAAAGGGTGCGATTAAGAATCTCGCCTTAGCAATTATTTACATAATTCGTTGGCTCACTATTACAAGGTTCTATGTTACAATTTTAGCACTTATTTAGTTATTAATGCTACAAGGTTCTATGTGTCATTAGCTACAGTTTTGCAAAAACAAACCACTAGATAGCGGCACTTTAATTACAAAATATTCAATTTTACATAGTTCTAAGTTGTTTTTTTTTAATATAACAAAATAACGAAGTTCTATGTAAAAATGACTAAACTTCATTAAAATTAACATAGAACCTTGTAATAGTGCGCCAACGATATATCACTATGCGATCAGAATTTCAACCTTCAGGCCGGTTTGTGGTTTGATCTAGGGCTCTGCAGGATAATGAATCAGTATGTATAGTATATACAGATAACAAATAATAATTTAGTAACTTAACAATAAAAGTGATTGCAAAAATAGTTGATAAAAAATTGCAACATTCCAAGTAACGTTATCGTATAACGTAACGTTATAGATAACGTAGTGTAGAGTAATAGTTAGGGGAGAGCGCCGGTTCACCGTCATTTGCAATGTTAATAACCCTTTTTGAATAATAATATACATTTATACACAAATTGTTAGGGATTATTCAATTTTCGTATAATTAGACAGTAACATAAAATATTCCTTCAAGATATATTTTATAAGTCATACTTAAATCATTTTAAAAAAACAACGACGCGGCGTTATGTGCCTAATGTAATGTTTAAAGTAAAAGTTGTTGCTAAAAATGAATATATAAAATACATTATAACCATTTAAAGCTAATCAATGTGAAAACCGACACAGTTGACAGCCGTCAAGTTTGCCATATTGCGTGACGTCAGAGCGCACGCGTGACATGTGCGCGTATCAATTCGCCTCGCTCGCGCCTGCGCAGCTGCGTACATCGACCCCAGCCTAGACAATTGAACTACCCAAAAAATTCACCCCATATTTTGGATCATTAATTCAACGCTTTGTCTAGGATCGGGTTTTACATCATAAGTGTTGCAAGCGCTACCTATCTGCATAAAAATTGTATGCATTAAATGCATGCGTAAAATTTAATTGTGAAATGCTTAATCTGAGGAACTGGTTTTATGGCGAGTACACAAATTAATTTATTATTACCTCGAGTAGTTGACTTTATTTATTTAAAAAAATGCTTCATTAAAAATAATTCGGGGTAAGTAAATGGAACGTTAAAACTTAAGAAAACTACGAAGAATTGAATGCCAAGTTTACCCAAAAGAAAGGACGTGTGAACTCTACGGTTTACATGACGACCATTAATACTATAATAATAATAACAGATAGTCAACCCGATGCAATCGCGACAAAGAGCGTGGCGAACAATCGACAGAACAATAGCAGCTCTGAATCAAACAATCGATGCATCGAACTCGCCATACATTATCGCGACAGCTGTGTGGGGTGCGACTCAGGGGAAATTTCAGGGTTCCGTCTCCCACGGTCTTTGCCAGCCCCTGCACTCTAGTCATAGAAATCTATCAACAAAATTCGGACCACATAATGCATTGGACCAGTACAACTATTTAATGGTTTTGATGTAAGCTTTTCAAGCTTAATCGAAATTAGTTTTATTAAAATCATACACATAAGAATTTATAAGAATTTTCATAATTCTATCAGGTATATAGTTTTTGGTACTATATTTTTTTAAATGTCAACTTAAAATGTTATATTTAAATAGAGAAAACAGCTAAGGTCCACTTTCACCAATAACACACACAATACATTTAAAAATGTTACTAAGCTAAATGTGTAGAAACACACCTAACAAAAGTTTACACAACACTTAGGAACTCTAAAAACTTTAGAGGACTCTTTAGAACTAGTTCCCCAAATGGCCTATAAATACTAAATGTCAGTGTGATAGTGTACTAATTATACTTGCCACTTATTTACATATATCAAAGTGTTAGAAACATAACTGTCATATGTATCTATATAAATAAAAATGAATGTTGATAAGCGCATAACTCAAAAATGGCTGGACCAATTCGGCTAATTTTTTTTCGTGTGTTCCTTAAGGTCCACGGAAGGTTTTAATAAAGATAAAGAACGAAAAATTAACGAAAAAATAATTATATGGCTAATAACTATTTATACCTATTGAAACCGTACCTAGCGATGAACCCGAGCGAAGCGAGGGTTAGCCGCTAGTTTTATAATAGGCTCTAATACATGTTAGTATTTTTAAAGATGAATAAAGCCTAATTTATACACTGGCAATTTTTAAATTCCAACTGATAGGTGTCGGTAATTTCAGTCTGCAAAGCATATTTAGTTCAATATTAAAATATTATATTAATCAGTTATTAGCACCTTTACTTATACTAACCATATACGAGTATTTGGTCGCCTAAATCTTTATAACTTACGTTAATAAATCTGTACGTCTTATTGTCTCCTATATGAGTGTATAATGTATATATATATATATATTATACAGCCATATGTGAGGTATATGTTGGTTTCTCCTATAAGGGTGAAAATGAATTTAATTTATAATTATTATAGGGAACTTAGCTTAACAGATACTTGATTAATAAAGCTTAGTACTTTTAAAGTAATTATTTAAAAATTATCTATACTTATACTTATCTATACTAATATTATAAAGAGGCAGAGTTTGTTTTTTGTTTGTTTTAACGCGCTAAGCTCAGGAACTACTAATCCGATTTCAAAAAATTATCTTCTATATAGGGACGAACCACAGCGAAACGGGGACGAGTCGCTAGTAACTTATAAAAGTGCTATTTTAAATATTTGGTCTTGTTTTCGCAACTCGACGTCTGTGCGCCTATTTTGCGTGAACGTATTCCTTATATGATGGATTCTTTCTTATAGGATGCCTAATCCTATAAGAAAGAAGTTTTCGAAAATTCATCCCCAAAGGGGTAAAATAGGGGACGAAAAATTGTATGAAACTGTGTAATTTTTTTATGTGAAACACGTGGAAAGTGGTATTTGCCTTAAAAATAAAGAAATAAAACATATGTATGTACTATGTATATTAGATTTTGTATAAATTAATTTCTATTAAATTTAAAGGGATGAAAGAGCTTGATAAAGCTTACAAGGGATTTTTTTATGAACAGAATTACTTGAAAGTTAGTATTAATTATTCGATTCCATTAAATAAACACGTGATTTAGATTTTTTTTAATTCATCCCGTAAGGGGATAAAATAGGGGATGAAAATATGTAATTTATTTGTATGAAACTGAGCTGTTAATGTGAAATGCACAGAAAGTGGTATTCAGCTTTAAAATAAAAAATGAGACATACTAGGTATATTAGATTTTTGGAAATTCATTCCTTAAAGGGGTGAAAGGGGGTGGTAATATTTATATGGGGTAAAAATTGCTTATGATTAGAATTACTTGAAACTTATTTTTTTAGTCCACATGAGCGTAGCCGCTGACAGAAATCTATGACAAAATAAGAATGACACTTATATATATTACTTAAAAAAGTGGGGAATGACTGTAAGTTTCAGGCATGCATTCGTTCATGGTTTCAGGATTACAAAACAATGGATCTTTGAAAATCGTAAATCATAAATATTCGCCTGTTAGTATGTCAGTTAAAAAGCCAACATTAGCCGTATATATTACATGATTCTAAAGTCATGAACATTGTATGCGAGTTATCTTTGTTCACTCTTTCTTTAACTTTGAAAAGATTGCTTATTGATGCACTGAATTTAAACGTGGAAGAACACCCACCAAAGATGACCCTAGCTCAGGCCACCCTACAACGGTAGTGACCGAAGAAATGTCAAAAAAGTCTAAAACATTGTTTTAGCAGATCGTCGTGTTACCACACATTTTATAGCCAAAGCAAATTCGAAAATAGGAGATGCTAGCTTCAAAATACTTGGGAATCCTGCATATTTACGCGACCTTGTCCCTAGTGATTTCTATCCATTTCCAAGGTTGAAGGAGTCTTTAAGAGGACAGAGATTTGAAAATGATGAAGCAGTAGTCGATGCAGTACAGGAATTTTTAGGTGCTCAGGATGAAGAGCTTTTTAAGAAAGGAATTTAATGTTCTGAAAAAAGATATTCCAAATGTATTATGTTAAAAAGCGACTATATCGCAAAATAAAAGTACAATTAAAAAAGTTATCGGCAAGTCATTCTCACATTTTATTGAACACCCCTTGTAGTAATTATTAAGATATCCGTAAATAGGCAAAAGTAAAAATAAAATTAATAATAATCAAAGCAACAAAAAATATTTCTTTACTTAGTTTAAAGTTTAAGTTTTAGTTTTAAAAGTTACTTAAGCTAATAACTAATAATAAAATAAATTCTAACGGGCTTAGTAGTTAATTCCTATATATTTTTAAGCCTGCCTCTCTCGTGTGGTGTTTGATAATATTCCATGAACTTCTATGAAAACAGAATATTAAATTCAGGATGCAGCGGAACCCTGATTGTTATCTCTCGCGCGTAAACTGAAGGAGCTCCGTTGTTTTCTTAGTATAACTCTTGCAAAACATTATTACTCTTGCTGATAAACTAATATTGTCTACGAAAATATTTTTTATAAGAACAACTTTAATGCACTAGCAAGATCCGCAGCTAGTATAAAACATGTACATTTTACATACAATATGTCTTCGGCTGCATAATACTATGTTTCTTCGTTAACTTGTTCTCATCTTATTAATTCGCTTTTTAATCTGTCGGATTTTTTATTTATTTTTATTTACAGCTTTTTAGTTTTAGACATTTTTAGTTTTATTTAAAAATTTCTAATCCTAAATTATTGCAAAACTTATAAGGTATGAATATTTTTTTAATCGCCTGTATGTGTATCTATATATCCTAAGACACTGTTGTTATCAGGACGAATTTAATTACATCAAAATCGGTTAAGCCGTTTAGTAATTACGAATGAACATAGGGTCGGACATACATAAATGTATATAAGAGTACATACATACATACATACAGATCAAACACATCACCCTTTGGCGCGCCCCAGTCGGGTAATAATAGGAACTTACACTTTCATAAATTGTATTTTATTATTGTTGTATTTATTTGTTTGTTATTCTGCTGTGGTGCGATATGCATTGCAATCTGCTATTTTTATTTAAAATTATAATAATTATATTAAAAAATGAATTCTTAAAAATTCTTTAGTTTTTTTATAAAATAAAATTAAGGTATCAAAATATTTCGCTACTAGTTTATTACTCATTTACTCGCAGTACCCGCGGCTTCGCCCGCGTTTTCATTTAACTACTAAAAAAGACTCTTTGGCTTTATGTTCTAACTAATAATAATTTGATAACATACCGACAGCAGCACCACCTGGGTCGAATTGTGTTATCAAACCATCCAGGAACATAATCGGTCCAGCCTTTTAGGAGGAGTTAGGTGGCTAACACACGTACAGTAAGATTATATTTGTGACAAAGAAATCAGAAAATATTTGTGTTTATTTATTCTAATCTATAGTAATATTATTAAGAGGTAAAGTTTGTGACGTTGTAGGGGGTAATCTCTGGATCTACTGAACAGATTTAGATGAAATTTGGTAAGAAGATAGTTTGAGACCCTGGGAAGGACATAGGATACTTTTATCCCGGAAATGATCCCTTCAGGATGTGAAAATGGGGATAAAAGTTTGTATGGGGAATCAACCTAGTGACCAACACGAGCGAAGCGAGGGTGAGTCGCTAGTTAATTATAAAATTAACTTCATAAAACATATATCTATAAGTATTACGCGGAGGTCAATGTTCTGATGGTTTATGTGATGAAGCGCCACGCGACTTCCAAACCCTTTAAGTCAACCCTTTATAATAAAATTTGATATAAAAAATTAAGTATGCTAAGGACGCCGAGCTTTAACTACTACAAGGGTCCACTCTTTTTTATTCACATGAAGTTCGATGTACCCTTTTTTTAAGCTACGCAGATCCCATGAACTTTTGTATTGAAATGATAATTTTAAACTAGTTTTTTTTAAAATTACCTTCAATTTACTTCTTGGTTGTTTTTATATAAATAACTATAGGGATACTTTAATATGACTTATAATAACATACCAGTAAAAATATTATTACTAATGCGTTGAATAAACAAACCATTCTAAAATAAAATTACATTATAAAGTTAATTTTAGCATCCTTGTTATACCACGTTTACCTATGGACTCGGGACTACTTTTTAAAAATAATAATAAAATATTATGTATTAAACTATATTTAACAAGAAAAGAAATAAAAAATATTAAATCTATTTAATCGTTCGGCTTGCTATTAGTGTCAACAAGTCATGACATCGTATAAGTTGTCAGATATTAGGTGCGAGTACAATGATCGGATACGTGATCGTAGACGCACTTGTGTGATGTCATCGGAAGCGTTGAGAGGCTTCAGGCCTCCCCTTCTGTCCCTCCCTCCTTCCTCACGACCTCCACATATTGCTTACATCGCACCTATTCTGCTTTATTAATCTGCCTGGTATTTATGACTATATTCTGACCTAATTAAGCCAAAATCCAAAAAAAAACATGAGTGTTTT